CACACACCTCCCAAACACTGCTACAACAGAGCAATTTTCCCCTGGGGCCTCCATGATCATCGTGAATCCAGGTACTAAGTACCAAGATCTGTGCCTTAAATCCCGATTAACCCACATTTGAGGCAGGTCAAGTTCAACCTTTGAGAAGCAGAAAGAGAATGCAGGGTTCTTGTTAACTGGTTTTTCTAATTAACCAATTAAAGATGGATCAGTTTGTACCACTAAGAAGTTATCTTTCTTACACGTTTATTAGGATGTCTGACATTGGTATGTCCAGCCAACCATTCTCATTGTTCAGAACTAGCTATTGAACTAGCTGTTTAAAGGGGAAGAAATGGACTTTCTGGTAAGTACTGATCCCAGAAAATATGCCTCAAAGTGGTTTATTTTTTAAAAAAGTAATTGTTTTCCTTGACAGCTGAAGAGAACCTCCAGCTGATGGTTCATTTTATAAGATGGGAAGATGTATAAGAAAAAGGACAACGTGTAACCTTGGGGCTAGCAAACACCCAAATACTTGGTCAGATACATAACAAAGCAGGTAGGATCTTGAAGTACTTCCATTTGACACCCTTCCCTGTTATACTTTCTGAGAAAAACTAACCATTTCTTTAAATATATTAGTAGCAGAGTTCAGAACTGAGAAAATCTTTGATTTGTAACCATTTATCACCACTCCCAGTGGTGTAGTACAACAACCCTGACAGGTGGGTCATAGGGTTACAATTCATTAGGTTCTTCCCTTTCCCACTAGTTTTTAGATGTCTCTTTTAACTGCTACAAATAAGACATGGTTAGACAAATTCTGGTACCAAAAAAATTGAAATGTTTCGGTTCAATGTTTTAAATTTACATATCTAAAAACTCACCTATTCTGCCTACACTTAAAGGCAAATTGGTTTATCTATTTCAGGCATCCATAATAAAATGACCCCCAACAATTGGGGCACCTGGCCTCTAGTCCTTTCCCACCCGAGGTTGTCAAAGCTCTTTGGTGCCAGTTCATCCCATGCTGCTGTCCTTGCATTTGCTTTTCCGTAGCCTCTTCCCTATAAATTGCTCAATGGTCCTTGCAGAGATCTGTGATTCCCCTAGGACTCTGTCTAGAGCATTCTTGGCTACTCATCAGTCCACGGACAAAATAACACACCAAGTGTACCGAAGCCTGAATTCTGTTTCAAGGTCCCCCTCTTTAGAGATAACCTTGGCAAGGTCCTTTCTCTGGCCCAGTTTTCACATTTGCCAAATCAGCCCAGTTGCCCTACACAACCTCTGAAGACTATGTAGAGGGCAAAATGGAAATACACAGTAAGTATGAAAGCAAATCCGGAATAAAGTTTACCTCATTTGAAGGAAGAGCTGATGATTATGTATTTACTTTGCTTCAGGACACTGGACCATTTTTCCATTATTAAACCGAAAGTCACAAGCAACTTCAAAGGACATGGACATTGAAGTACAGTAATGCACAGAGAAACTTTTCAGTCAACAATGAACAGCATATACA